CCCCCTAGCGGCCGGCGGACGGCACAGCACACCCTCACCTCCCCCAACCCCCCTCCGCCCAGTGAGCACCAGTATGGCGCTGGGGAGGAAGCCTCGCGTGCTGGCCCGGCCATCCCCGGCAGCTACGGGCTGGGGAAAGGTGGTCTGATCCCGAAAAGCCCTAATTAAGGTGCCAGACCCACCGCTAAGCCACCTTGTACCTGCCTGGTGCAGCAGGGCTGGGCTCTGCCTGCCTGCGCCTCAGGCCTCCTATACCTCAGGCTTCCTACACCTCGCATTTCATAGAATCATAGAATTGTCTAGGTTGCAAGAGACCTTTAAGATCATCAGTTCCAACCACCAACCTAACACTGCCAAAACCACCATTAAACCGTGTCGCTAAGCACCACCTCTACCTGTCTTAAATACTGCCAGGGATGGCGACTCCACCACTTCCTTGGGCAGCCTGTTCCAATGCTTGACAACCCTTTCTGTGAAGAACTTTTTCCTGATATCCAGTCTAAATCTCCTGTGGAGTAACTTGAAGCCATTTCCTCTTGTGCTATCGCTTGTTACTTGGGAGAAGAGGTCGACTCCCACCTCTCTACCTAGAATTCCTACACCTCAGGCTTACTACCACTCAGAATTCCTACACTTCAGGCTTACTTACACCTCAGATTTCATACACCTCAGAATTCCTACATCTCCGATTTCATACACCTTGGGCTTCCTACACTTCAGGCTTACTTACACCTCAGATTTCATACACCTCGGGCTTCCTACACCTCAGAATTCCTACACCTCAGATTTCATACACCTCAGACTTCCTACACCTCAGGCTTCATAGCACATTGTTTCAGCAGGCAGGATGCAGCCAAGTGGGGTATGGGGATGGATTCTGCAAGAAGAGAAAGATGACAACTTAATTGCACACCCGATTTTTCATCACGGGTGCGAAGTTTGGGCTCCCGGTCTCCTCAGTCCCAAGGAAACCTGAATTCCTTTTGGTCTTCACAGCGCACATCCAGTGTAATAGGTGCTCTGAGCTTTGTCTCCCTCCTCACGTCGGGAATCCAGTCCCTGATGTGCCTTGGGGGTCCTGCCGTGTGGTGAGACCATGATGCTGGTGTGGGCTGGGGTCTGCCGCGATCGAGGTAACCCCAGAATTTTCAGTCCTGTATGGTGGTGGTGGATCACAGACCCACTCTGGAGGAGTTCCCAGTTGAGCTGAATGAGGTGGGAATCATTCATCTCACCATCTGCACGGGATGTTTGGCAGGTCTCTGTAACAATCCCTGCCATAACCCTTTTAAAAAAGGTGTGTGAAACTATGAAAATAGAGACAAACAACAATAAACACAAAATAAACTTTATTTTGGCAGGAAGGTTTAGCGACTACTATCGGATGCTCCGTATAACTCACATACAGATAGCTGCTTCAAATCCCTGTGGCAACAGCAATGCCAAACCCCACATTAGCTCTGCACTCAGAATTTGAATGATTGTTAAGAGTCATCTCAGGGTTTTTCAGGTCTAAAAAGCCATGTCACTGCTGAGGAGAGGAGAAATAATCATTACAGCTTTATTGTGAGGTTTTAGGGAAATGGAGCTGAGTGTAGAGTTATGTCCCTGCAATATGATGAGCTGCCACTGACCCCTACGTATTTGAAGCTATGCTCAAGTTTGAAGCAGATTTAGGAATTAAATCGGCAGAGGGCAGGACTGTATTTATGCTCATCACTGTATTTTCTCTGTATGTTGTATCACAGTTCTCTATACTGTATTTCTAACTCCTTAAGAAATCTGTGGTAGCTTAATCTGGCAGCTGGTCCCCTTGGGCATTCAGCATTTCCATTTACTTACCTTAATTTTGGGGATAAAAATAGAAACAATAATATGAGGCTCTTCTGAGTTTGATGACACAGTTGTGAAAAAGTTAGGAAGAAAGAAAACTTATTCTCATTTCACATCAAGTGTATATTTCAAACATCGACGTCTATTATTCAAGCGTGTTTGTGACCATTTCACTGTGCCATCACTCCCGCTAACACTGAGGTCACCAGGTAATTGTGTTATTGCAAAGTATTTGGTGATCAGAAGTATTTATAGCATTATCTCACTTGGGCCTGAAGTGGGCTGAATCAGTTGACTTATCTGATTGTCTAGCTGCAGAAATAGTTTTTATTTTCCAAAACAGTCCCTAAAATTTTGTATCTCTGCAAGCCTGAATTTTACCCAACCACACCAATCTCCCATCTTTTCCAGGTAGTCCACCCCAAAGTCTTGCACAAATTATTCGGAGTCTTCTTTTTGACAGCAGTAAGAATGGATTTTCTTTTTTGCTTATAATGGGCAGGTGTATCTCCAGCTTGTACCAAGCATGTCAAATTGTATGAGCTGAGATTTCTAAGAATTATGGCCACTCGCACCACGTGATAAAGCAGTGCAAATAAACACGCAACACTGTCTGCAAAGCAAAGCACAACCTCCAACCCCAAAGCGGATAACAGTGTCACTTCAAACCTCAAAATGGTACAAGCACTATCTCTGTATTAATCAGAAAGCCCTTATCTCCAGCATTGCTTTTGACTGTGCCACTATGCAATTTATTTCACCATGGTTAGGTGAAAAAATGGTGCTAGTCAGTAAAGCTACTACTTAAAAAGATCTGGTTTCAAGTTCTAGACTATACTAGCCTCTTCCCATCCTCGTTATGCTGCTTTCTACTAAGGCAATCTTTCTAGGCAGTACATTTACAGGTGGGTCTATTTTCGTGATAACAGTGAAAGCTTTTAAAATATAAGAAGACATTTTTGTGACTTTATTTACAGAGGATGTCCCAAATGTCTTCCTTTGGTTTCTTGCCCTGGCAATGTCTGCATTTTTAAAGGAAGGGACTGATAGGATTCACATTTCTTTAACTTTGTGGAAGAAAGAAAATCAGCAGGACACTTGAATACTAATTTTACGGTGACAGAATCCCATTGAGAAAAGCACTGATATCCTGTGTTAAAGGAAAGAATCAAATAGTTAATTGCATCAAAAGGTACTGAGAGAAATTCACTGTGGATTAAAATGTCGCAGAGCAATATCACAGCATGACAGTCATTGGGAAAAACTAAAAAGAGATTAGAGTCTGCAAACGTAGAAAGCACAGTAATAATGGGAGCTTTCAGTTCCTCCTAGGAA